CTCTCTCTCTCTCTCTCTCTCTCTCTCTCTCTCTCTCTCTCTCTCTCTCTCTCTCTCTCTCTCTCTCTCTCTCTCTCTCTTTGTCTCTTGCAAAAGTCCTCAATCCTGAGTTTCAGCTTGGAATTTTTAAAATTCCTTCTTATCCTTCATACTACTTATTTTTTTCTTTTTGTATTTGTATATAATATATTTGTATATAATATGGATAACAGATACCGTTCTTATCGAAGATATTTAAGTTCAGAAACGTTTATGTTTCAAAGAGGTACGAAGTTGTCTTCCGTTATAGAAGAGGGATTCGAAAAACCGGTTTTTACAAAATATTCTTTGGTATAGTCGGACGAACGTAGCCCGTTTCCACGCAGTATTCGATGTCCTCCGAAAGTTCCTCCCTTTAATATCTCTCGAGTATAACACTCACGATCAATACGATCGTGACTAGTTGAACGCATCTCTGATGAATACCGAGTGTTGTCGAGAATAATTCTCGATGAAAAGAAGAGGGAAAAATCGTAGACTAATTTGATTATCGAATATTTTCAAAAGATAATATGGTCGAGAAGATAGAGAAATTACGATAAAGTTATTCGGTTTGATTATCTTTGAAAAGTTGCGCTAAGTTGTTCGATCTATTGCCGGTTGAAATGCTAATCGCGCATGCGCAGAAAGATGTCGCGGGCATTTTAAACAGCGAACAACGCGGATCGCGTGTAAAATAACGTATCGTGCTAATGTCTAGCTTATCGAATGCGGAACTTTCCTTCAACGTTTATTTTGTTTCCTCGTGCTTCCTTTTATTCCTGAGTAATGTAGAAATACACGGAAAGGTAGAATTCCTTTCAAACTATAGAACCAGAGCGTAATATTAACTGACTCAAAATCATACGATGAAACTTGTTTATTTCAGGTATATAGCAAAACTAGTTTGTATCGTGCTATTATATTCATATATAAATATAAACATACGCGCTTACACATCACTTTATATCCTTCTTTCCATGTAGTTTTAGAGTTAACACGAACGAAGTTAACTTTTTCTGACGTATTTAACGTGCCACTCATATATATGTATGTATGTTTGTAGTACGTTCGACACAACGATAATTACGTACGACTCGTGCTATAAAAGGATTGCATCTAACTCGACGCAAAATATGACGAGACATACATTTACTCGATTTATAAATACTCTCGATACTACTCTCAATTTCTCGATTTTCTTTTCGTCGTCATCGTCGTGACGAGAATAAAGAAATAGAGAAATAGAGATAATGCTTGTTGGAAACGGACGAAAGAGAAACGAGATATCGAGAGAGAAAGGGTAAAAAAGATAAAAAAGAAAAAGATATGTACATAGAAAGAGTAAGAAAAAGAAAAAGAAGAAGAAAAAGGAGTATGGAAGAAACGATTCTAGCAAGAAAGCAAAGACGAGTCCTTATAAGTACGAACGTCCTTAACCTGCTTCTTCTCGCGGTGCCTTAAAGGCACTTTGACGCAATCTTCCAAGCAAAACGAGTCGATTCCTTGCGACTTTTCAAACTCTATACCTTTTGCGATCTTCTCCATAAAAGGATCGCTTCTCTCTCTCTCTCTCTCTCTCTTTTTCTTTTTCTCCTTCCACCTCTCTCTATCTTTTTCTCCTTCTCTCTCTCTCTCTCTCTATCTTTTTCTCCTTCTCCTTATCTCTCTTTTACTTATCCGTTTTATTTATCCTTATTCTGAACAGATAGAGAAAGTATCAAAGCCGACTCGATCTCTCTCTCTCTCTTTCTCTCTCTCTCTCTCTCTCTCTCTCTCTCTCTCTCGATAAAACGAAATAGAGTTCGTGACCCTTTAACTCTTTGGCTACAGCGAAGTTGCTCTTAGATATCTGCAATCTCATTGTATTATGCAAATTATTGATTTTTTATTTAAGTTATATCAAATTAATATATAATGAATTATAAATGAATAAAAAAGAGAATGTCAGGATAAAAAAATAACGTTGATTGCCATGAAAATATAAAAATATGCTTAATTCATGTAGAATTTTATTGGATGACTATAGTCATTTTTTTTTTTTTTTTTTTTTTTTTTTTTTTATACAGAATTCAATACTGGTAGACAACTTTAGTCATTTTTAGTAATGAAAGAGAAAAAAAAAGATATACAATTATTTTACATTCTTTAGTTTTTCTTAAAACTTATGAAATTATTAAGCTTCTTTTACATTCTTTAGCAAAAAAGGACATTTTATTTCGTAAAATTACGATTGTCCTTTTTTGAATTATGAATTTCAAGATTTACGAATATGTGCGAAATTGAAGTCAAGTTTGAATCACGTTTCGACGATGCCCTCGAAAGTGTGAGCACCATTTATGGTATTCTTAATGATCCCTGCTATATCATACGATACATCTCGATCATTATACGATATATTCTGTTTCGTGATATACGTACCGTATCTTTTCGTCGAAGGATGCGTTTATTGCGGTGGTCCATAAGCGGGAATGTTAGGCAGGTCCAGCCTTTCGAGACCGGTTTCGAGGACCTTCGCATGGTCTTGTCGTTGAAGGAAAAGAAGAAATGAAATAAAAAAAAGGAAAGTAAACGAAAAGAAAAAAAAAAAAATCAAAGACAAAACTCATTTTGTGTCCTTGTAGATCCAAGAACCCGGTCAAAACTTTCTGAGATCTAGCTTGAATTATTCGATTTTTTTTTTTTTTTATATTTGTTTAATGTTCCCTTTCCTTTTCTGTTTTTTGTTTTCTTGTCTTTGTTTTTTAGTTTGTAAAAAAATAACTCGATTTTATTTCAAATTTGTAATACTGACGTTAGTTCCTTATCTCTTTTTACGTTTGATTTAGTATATGTATACGCATGCTCATCGTTCTTTGTTCTCTAAGTAAAAAACGGATGAACAAAAAATAGGGGAGAACCAAACTTCTCACAAGAATGACTAATACTTGGAAGATCGTATGAGCCAGAGGGAAAGTGAACACGTGAATCACGTCGTAGGTAGTTTGGGAAACAGGTGTGACGATGTTACTAACACGTGGAAGAATCTTTGTATAAATTCATAAAGCTGTTTTTATTCCTTTTAGAATGATTCTATAACGTTAATATAAATACGATATCGGAAGAATTTAGCTTGTATTTCATTGAGAATGACATAAGCAACTTTATTATATCAAATAATCTTCAAACTCATGAACAATAAAAATATAGATGGCCTTTTATAAATTTTATCCACTTTTCTAAATTGATTCTTTAAACTTTGTAATCTCATTGCATCGTCAAAAAAAAAAAAAAGAAAGAATAATAAATAAAAGGAAAAAACAGATTATGCAGACGTTACTCGACACTTTCGAAAGTTGAAAAATCCACGCACATCCAAAGTTCAATCTTGAGCGAGATTCTCGTTTGCTATTCGAGTATTCGCTTAATGTTATCGCACTATTTTAAATTGTTTCTCGTCGGTATACGCATAAATCAATAAAGACGTGTCACGACCTCACTAATTATTTATTTTCTCAAGGACAAACGCGGAAATCGGAGTCGATCCTCCGATGCATATTCATTTCAGTTTTATACTTTTTATCATTTCAATCGAAGAAATTAATTTTCGTTGACAAATAAATTATTTTAATAATTAATATAATTTTGTATACATATGTTTAAAATATCATATTGACTATAAATAAAAACGACACTGTATGTTTCCAAACATCGTATAAATTTTCGTAATATCTAAATGCAACAGAGATCGATATTTCTACGACGAAAGTTCACTTAGAAAAGTTTTCAAATTTTTGAGAAGTTGCAAGTTCCACAATCCTAAGATTCTTTTTGTTTGATTAAAAAGTCTATACACGTTCATTTCACCATTTCAAAGAGTTCTTTTGACTTTAAAGAAACAAGACGAGAAGCGAAAACCAAGCATGAGAGAGAGAGAACAATCGAGAGAGAGAATCGATCGGTCATCTCCTGAAAGCTTCTTTAGTGTCTCCCAACCAATTTGCTAAAATCTAAATCGTCAGTTGAAGAAGTTTTTTCTTTTTATTTATTATTTAAAGGATTATTTAATAAAAAACAAAAATTAAAATTGTACATAAATCAAGTTATAAATACCCATTAAGTCATTTTTTAGATCAAAAAAGAAAAACATATTTTTCTATCACTTTTACTGACGTTGTGACTAACAGTAATAATCTTTAAAAGAAAGTTAATGCACAAATCGGAAATAAATTCGATTATTGGCAGGTATGATCATTTAGACGTTAACGTAATTTCGTTTCTTTTTAATAAGAAAAATATACAAAATATGATGGAAATACAACCGATTTAAAAGAGACTCGTCGTGTCGTTATCTATCTATCGAGTAATTTTTCTTTCTCACGTTGCCTTTATTTTCTTTGGCTCGACGCGAAATGGCGTACAACGTATACGTGTCTTCTTTATGTGGGTATGTGTGTGTATGTGCGCGTGCGGGTGTATATGTACACACACGCATGTATATACCTACGTACGTATGTACATATGAACGAAGGGATTGCGTAGGTGTAACATTCTTAAACTGTAAATGGCGCTTAAATTTCTACACTTGGCCGCGTTTAACCGAAAGACAAAGTGAGAATAAAGGAGAGAAACATTATGTTAGCTTGTATCTTTTTCATTTGTATGTAACTCGTGCCTTTACACATACACACACACACACACACACACACACACACACTACTACGTACGTTTTAGCTGTTACTATTAAATCTCTATTATCAATTAAAATGTTACCTTCTTATTTAACGATCAAATTTAACTGAAGGTTTATCAGAAAATCAATAAAACTTCAAATTTATATAGTTTGAATACGAAAATAAACTTGTAAATCTCAATATCTATTTCTAATTGAAATAATTTTTTTTTTTCATGATTTTTACAATTACGAAATATTGAAATTAAAATATCTATGTTATAATATCGTGAGAAAAGTTAATCGAATTTTATATTATTATTTATTTCAGACGTATTCTGGACTGTTCTGCGTCGTGGTAAATCCTTATAAAAGATTGCCGATTTATACGGAAAAGATAATGGAAAGGTATAAGGGTATAAAAAGACACGAGGTACCACCCCACGTTTTCGCCATCACTGACACGGCCTACCGTTCGATGTTACAAGGTAATTATTAACGATAACGTATGTTTTCGATACTTTACGATGTACCATTGAAAAAGTGGTACATGACGTAATAGCGACAAACGATAATGGAAAGAATATTTGAAAAAAAAAACCGTTATGTACTTTGTAGATCGCGAGGATCAGTCCATTTTGTGTACCGGTGAGTCTGGAGCAGGCAAGACCGAGAACACGAAGAAGGTCATTCAATATCTGGCGTATGTTGCTGCTTCGAAACCCAAGTCCAATGCGGTAAGAACTTAACACACGGACATTCTTTTTTAGTCCGTAAGTTAGAAATGTTCTTTCTCTTTCTAATTTCTCTTTGTATCTTTTTCTCTCTGGAGAGATACCAGTGTATGTATAGGATGTCTAAGAAAAAAAAATTGTTTTCTTTAAGAAGAAATTTAGGAGATAAGATGGAAGAAAAATTGTTTCGTTAATACTGAAACATGTTGATGACCGGCTATTATACGGAAAAAGTGTAATATGTTCCATGTTTCGACTATAATTGAATGTTTCCAGTTTATAATTGAATTAAAATCATTATTAAAATATTAAAAAATTCTCAATTTGCACGAATCGCATATTTACTTTAATAATTACATAAGTTGCATGCATGCAAAACCAGAAGCATACTCGTGACCGGTCAACAATGAATTAAATGGAAAACATTAGGTTAATAAGATATATTGTGTGTTGATAGTATCTAACGACTAAAGATCAAAAAATATCTTTCCGAGGGTACTTTTAATTTTTTAGCATTATTCAAGCAAATACATATTCAAAGGATAATTCCATCATTTAAAAGTACATATATTCATATCTATATAAATACAAGTATAAGACATTAATGTAACTCGATCGTGAATGAATATAAACGTCATCAAGATCGCTATCGAGATACCGTGTATTTCAAGAAATCATTCCATTGATACCGATCCGATATCTGCGAATATTATTTTTATAACGTTCTAATAGATGTATTAGAACTGAATATAGAGAACTGAATGATTAAATTAATATATTCTAACTAATTGAGTCAGTTTCGTAATGATCAACTTTTATTATATAGTTGATCAGTAAATTCGATTCGTTTTTCACGAATTCTTCAGGTAAATGGGCCAATTGATGACAGGAAGTTAGCATTTCTGTGAATCGGAAGATTTTGTAACCGCAAAGAGTCCGCATTAGCGGAACTCCAACCTCAATTTCCGAATCATGACATCATTTCAAACCGCTTATTTAAATTCGAACAACTCAACAATGCGCATTTCCCAATTAAATGTGATATTTCTTTCTTTATACATATGTGTGTTTATATTAGCTCGACACAAATAAGGCATCTTTACGTGTACGTGTATTTTTATTAATTTTATTGTATAGGATATACAGTTAATGTATACTTACAATTAGTTATAGATCCGACCATTAAAAGCGTATTACTCTAATCTATAAAAATTATACTTGAGAACTTTCATAGTTATTACATTTGTTATAAATGCCATTAGAGAAACATTATGAATTAGTAATCTTATCTCTTGATCTACGTGATACATCGTTCATCCTATCTCACTAATTACAAATCGTTAACTGCTTGCCGATGATAGTGTAACACATAGATATACATTATTCTAGATTTATTTTCATGAATAATTAATTAATAATTACGCGTATTAAATGAAATTATTTAAAAAAACATAATACAAAAATACTTTTGATACCATTGATTTGATACAATTATCTTTTCTTTTGTTTTTTTCCTTTTTTATCCTAGGATTTTGATATTTATTTATTTTTTTTCTTTTTTACGAAATAAATTTCTTACCATTCACTTTTATTCAAACACATACTACGAGTGCCTTTAAAAATAGTGACTTTCTTTATTCGTTTCTCGATTGCATACAGTAAGCTCTTTGTTATATATCCGTGGTAGCAATGCGTCGTCTGAAAATGCAAAGCTTGAATTGTGACGTACGTACGTATAAACCACGGTCTTCTTTGATAAATAAAGATCGTTCGTTTCTGGAGCGTACTAAAATATCTTACGGGAAATATGGGAACTATTCGATCGTTTAATCTTTTCTAATTGAATGTATGGATCATATTCTCTTAAAGAAACACGAACAAATTTTTATCATAAAGAAAAACACTTGGATCGTGATCTTTTTTATGATTTAAACGCGTTTAGAATTATATTAGAATATAAGCGTTATTCTATCGAGATGGAAAATAGAGTTATCGCCCGTATGAATTTATAGATTATAAATCGCTACGAAGAACGATCATTTATGTCATCCTGTCGAAGGCCACGGTAACTTTAATACGATTTCGATTAGTCTAAGCAAGCTTGCTTCATGATATATAGGGATAAAATAATGGCGATGATAGGATTCTAACGTCGATCATGTTCAATCTATTTATATTGCGTTTCGTTTTCTTTTAATCTCCATTAGTATATGCAGACTCGCGATCATCGAGAGACGCGCGACGTTCTCTCGAAGGACCTCTCCTTTTTCAGATAAACGCTCTATTTATCAACCCAAGTTACTTTGAGTCACACGCGTGCACGTACACACACACACATACACACACACACACACACACACACACACGTGCGTATACGGTGCAACCTACTTAATCTTTTCTGAGTCATCGTTATGTGAAAACGATGCCTAAACTAGTTTTTCCCAAAGAAAAATACCTTTTAAATTTGTCCAAATGAAGGTGCAAGTGAATGGATAATATATTGAATACATTGAAGATTTTGTACATCCTTAAGAATTTTGTTAAGTTTAACAAAGTACTCTTTGGATGTAGAATATTTTTAAATTCTATTTTTCAATGTTTTTATTTGAAATAATTCAAAGTTCCTAAACCGTATTAGACGATTTTGTCGTAAACTTCAGTATCATCATAAATTTACTTTCTTTGAAGAAAATCCTAAGTCATATCTTCTGAAAGAAAAAAAGAAACCTTTTTAAGTAATAATAATAATTATGATACAAATAATAATAATAATCATTATTTTTTTTGTGGTCTCTCCACATAAGCAAGTATCGAGCGTGTAAATAAACGGTAACGAGAAGGCAGTAGAGAAGAGACACTGGGGATTGTATTTTGGACCGCGAGAGTAAAAGACACGTCGTCGGTTCTACCAAGAGATTTATAAATTCATTCACGTTAAGAATCCTTCCTTTCGAAGTAAATACATTATTCATGTTCTTTTAAACCAGGCTGGAAATGATTTAGGATGGATAGGAGGACAATGAAAGTTCGTTACATAAATAAATGATAAAATAATATGCGAGGACAGCTGAAATCTCGTTGGTTAGATACTCATATATGGTATTACATATATATGTATACCCGTATATATATGCGAGTAACAGCAAAGATCGGTGAACCGTGAGAGTAATACATATGCGAAGCCATGGCCCAACTAGTTTCTTTTTTTTTCTCCCAAGGTACATATATTCATACATGGTGCTTGTATCTACCATGATTTCATTCGATCCCTTTATGTGTTACCATAAACCTATCGTGATAAGATACGAAGAATGGAGAGAAAAATGGAAATATCGATTCGAAAGAAAAAATATGGAACGTTATTTAATATTGAAAATATTCTTTCGTTTTCGGTGCTGACATTTTGGCTGCCTTCCATCAATAGACCCCAAGCCCGGCGTTAATCATAGTAAGTCGATATAAAACAAAAACCTATACGTATTTAAATTCAGTAATCACATTTTCAATCAAATGCAATCAATGTTATCTGCTTCTTCTTTTTTTCTCTTTTTTTATTTCTTTTTCTTTTTTTTTTTTCTTTTTTGTCTTTACTAACAATTGGTTTTGGACTTTGGTAATAATGAATAATATTTAATAAATTGTATATACACATAAAACAATGCAATAAAAGTGCAACAGTTAACGAACGATTTATATATATAACGATAATAGTTAATTTTTCATTGCTGTCTAACAAAGATCTTTCCTCACTTTTTTCTCGCTGCTTATGGATCCAGGCATCTGGGAGTGTGTCGGACAAGTTTGCGGTAATTAATGTGAGGAGGAGAAAAAAACAATTATTAACATTATTTGGGTGTGGTGTCGTAAAATTGGTGTCGTAAAATTGGTGTCGTCTATTCCTTTTAATCCTTTGTGTTATTAATATTTAAAATTTTCATATTCTTCAATCGCTTTGGAGTTTTAGAAAGGAGCCGGTATTAAAAATCCATTAATACTTTATTATCTTTATTTCATTATTATTTAATCTCTCTCTCTTTTTTCTTTTTTTTTTTTAAATCAAATTTTATAGTATTTTAATCGTCATATTAAAAAGAAGAAAGATTATGTTTTTAAATGAATATTATATAATGATACTTCGCAAGAATTTATAGTACCAATATAATATTGTAGCTATAATTTGTTGTTCATATTCTTACGCTCCGATAATACCTTCAAGTTATAGGTCACCTGATATATATATATATATATATATATATATATATATATAATCGTACTTCCAATTGGTTAACAATAAGCTTGTGTATATTTGTATAACTTGTTTGGGGATATGTATACTAATACCTTGAAAAAAATGTAATTGACAATCGGCTGTAAAAAGTTTTAGCAAAAATATCAGTTAGCCAATACGTTGCAGTTTCTCATGCTCATCATTTCTTTTACTTATTATTTGGAAAATATCAAATGTTGATGCATCCATATGTCGTTATATGCTTTGTATATGTATATACGTTTATTTTCGATATCAGTCCATACCAGTGTTTTTTTTTACTGTATTCTGAGAGGACAATAAAGATATTGGAAAAAAAAGATAATATTGAAAGCATCAATGGAAAATAGTCGTTCGCAGAAAGCATTTCTATTTCTATTTTTTCTTTTATCGTCAACATATAAATGAACATGCAATGCTTTATTGGCAGCTTATATTTCATGCTCTGCTGTAATTTAAAACGAAAACGACAATAAGTATTTAAAATTGATATAATCGAGATAAAATTTATATATAAAAAAGAAAAAAAAAATTACAAAAGAATTGCTTATTGTCGTTAATAAAATTGTCAACCCTTTCTGAAATTTATTATACGTGCTTACATTTTGTCAAAAATCTGTATGATCTTTTCTGTTTTCCTTTTCTTTTTTTTTTTTCTTTAATCTCCCATGCTTATCATCTTGCTTTTATATTTTATTATAGGGCGAACTCGAACAACAGCTCCTTCAAGCAAATCCAATTTTAGAAGCATTTGGAAACGCAAAAACTGTGAAAAACGACAACTCGTCTCGTTTCGTAAGCACCTCTGACAATTAGCATTAGTAACATTTACTCATGTACGATATTTATCAATTTCTTTCCCTCTTCTTGCTTGTCTTTTAGGGCAAATTTATTAGGATAAATTTCGATGCCTCCGGTTATATCGCAGGTGCAAATATCGAGACTTATCTTTTAGAGAAATCAAGAGCGATCAGACAAGCCAAGGATGAAAGAACTTTCCATATATTTTACCAGTTGCTTGCTGGTGCCTCATCGGAACAAAAAAGTATGTACCGATAAATAACTAAGATAATATATTGATCATGATAAGAAATATAAGACGTTTGATTATTACATTTTTCTTTTTTTCTTTACAGAGGAATTTATATTGGAGGACCCTAAACATTATCCGTTCTTATCCAATGGTATTCTGCCTGTACCAGGAGTCGATGATTCCGCTGAATTCTTCTCAACAGTGAAATCGATGCACATCATGGGTATGACTAACGAAGATTTCTCATCGATCTTCCGCATTGTTTCTGCAGTGATGCTATTCGGTTCCATGCAATTCCGTCAAGAACGTAATTCCGATCAAGCGACTTTACCTGATAATACAGTAGCACAAAAAATATCTCATCTGTTAGGTCTCAGTGTAACAGAAATGACAAAAGCTTTCTTAAAACCTCGAATCAAAGTCGGTAGGGACTTTGTAACTAAAGCACAGACAAAGGAACAGGTAGAATTTGCGGTGGAAGCTATATCAAAGGCATGCTATGAACGAATGTTTCGTTGGTTAGTTAACAGGATCAATAGATCTTTGGATAGAACGAAAAGACAAGGTGCCAGTTTTATAGGTATCTTAGATATGGCCGGTTTTGAGATATTCGAATTGAATTCCTTCGAACAGCTATGCATTAATTACACAAATGAAAAGTTACAACAGTTATTCAATCACACCATGTTCATTCTCGAACAAGAGGAGTATCAGCGAGAAGGTATCGAATGGAAATTCATCGACTTTGGACTCGATCTTCAACCTACGATCGATTTGATCGACAAACCAATGGGTATCATGGCTTTATTGGACGAAGAATGTTGGTTCCCCAAAGCGACTGATAAAACGTTCGTCGAGAAACTCGTCGGTGCACACAGCGTGCATCCCAAATTTATGAAAACAGATTTTCGAGGTGTCGCTGACTTTGCTATTATACATTATGCCGGTAAAGTGGATTATTCGGCGGCTAAATGGCTAATGAAAAACATGGATCCATTGAACGAGAACGTGGTAAGCCTTTTACAGGCATCCCAGGATCCATTCGTCTGCCATATTTGGAAAGACGCTGAAATCGTAGGCATGGCGCAACAAGCGCTGACGGATACACAGTTTGGTGCAAGGACTAGAAAAGGCATGTTTAGAACGGTATCTCAACTGTATAAAGAGCAATTGGCTAAATTAATGTTGACCCTGAAAAATACCAATCCGAACTTTGTCAGGTGTATTATTCCAAATCATGAGAAAAGAGCTGGTAAAATAGATGCTCCTTTAGTATTGGATCAATTACGATGTAACGGTGTGTTAGAGGGAATACGTATCTGCAGACAAGGTTTCCCAAATAGAATTCCATTCCAGGAATTTAGACAGCGTTATGAGTTACTCACACCGAACGTTATCCCGAAAGGTTTCATGGACGGGAAGAAGGCTTGCGAGAAAATGGTATGTATCTTCTCTTTAATACGAAATTTTGTTTAAAACCACATTGATTCTTATTTTTATTCGTTTCTTCCTAGATTCAAGCATTAGAATTGGATCCAAACCTTTATCGAGTTGGTCAATCAAAGATATTCTTCCGTGCCGGTGTTTTGGCTCATCTCGAAGAAGAAAGAGATTACAAAATAACCGATTTGATCGTAAACTTCCAAGCATTCTGTCGTGGTTTCTTGGCACGTCGCAATTATCAGAAACGTTTACAACAATTGAACGCCATTCGTATTATACAAAGGAACTGTGCAGCTTACTTGAAGCTTCGTAATTGGCAATGGTGGAGACTTTACACCAAAGTGAAGCCTTTGTTAGAGGTAACAAAACAAGAAGAGAAACTCACCCAAAAGGAAGACGAATTGAAGCAAGTTCGAGATAAACTCGAATCACAATTACACTCTGCCCAAGAATATGAACGTAAGTATCAACAAGCCATCGAAGAGAAAACGATGTTAGCTGAACAGTTGCAAGCTGAGGTAGAACTTTGCGCCGAGGCGGAGGAAATGCGAGCAAGATTGGCTGCGCGTAAGCAGGAGTTAGAAGAGATATTGCATGATTTAGAAGCGCGCATCGAAGAGGAGGAAGAGAGGAGTGCGGCATTGACACAAGAGAAGAAAAAATTGCAATTGAACATAAGCGATTTAGAAGAGCAATTGGAAGAGGAAGAGGCTGCTAGACAGAAACTACAGCTTGAAAAGGTACAGTGCGATGCAAAAATTAAGAAACTCGAAGAAGATCTTGCACTTTCGGATGATACTAATCAGAAACTGCTCAAGGAGAAAAAAATTCTCGAGGAACGTGCGAACGATTTGTCTCAAACTTTGGCGGAAGAAGAAGAGAAAGCAAAACATTTATCAAAATTAAAAGCGAAACACGAAGCAACCATAGCGGACCTCGAAGAGAGATTACTTAAGGATCATCAACAACGACAGGAAGTAGATAGATCGAAGAGAAAAGTGGAAACCGAAGTGTCGGATTTGAAGGAACAACTTTCCGAAAGAAAAACGCAAGTCGAAGAATTACAATTGCAATTGGGAAAACGCGAAGAGGAACTGAATCAAGTGATGGCAAAGATGGACGAAGAAGGTGCGGCAAAGGCGCAAGCACAAAAAGCGTTAAGAGAATTGGAATCGCAATTAGCCGAATTACAGGAAGATTTAGAAGCAGAAAAAGCGGCGCGTAGTAAGGCAGAAAAATTAAAGCGAGATTTGAACGAGGAATTGGAAGCATTAAAAAATGAATTGCTGGATTCATTGGATACTACTGCAGCCCAGCAAGAATTAAGAAGTAAACGTGAACAAGAATTAGCTACTTTGAAGAAGAATCTTGAGGAAGAAACATCGGTACACGAAGCTACGTTATCTGATATGCGACACAAACATACGCAAGAGTTAACAGCTTTGAACGAACAAATGGATGCCTTAAAGAAAACTAAAGCTGCTTTAGAGAAAGCAAAGGGTTCTCTCGAGGCTGAAAATGCAGATTTGGCTACTGAATTGAGATCGATTAGTGCGAGCAGACAAGAATCTGATCGTCGTCGTAAACAAGCAGAGCAACAGTTAGCCGATGTCAGCGCCAAATTAGGTGAAATTGAGAGAAACAAACAAGAATTGGTAGAAAAGGTAACGAAACTTCAGCAAGAGGCTGAAAGCGTTATGCAACAATTAGAAGCAGCGGAATTGAAGGCTTCAGCCGCTTTAAAAGCATCGGCAACGTGCGAATCACAATTCACGGAACTTCAACAACAATTAGAGGAAGAGACGAGACAGAAACTTGCATTAAGTTCGAAACTTCGTGCGTTGGAAAGTGAGAAGGAAAGTATACATGAACAATTGGAAGAAGAAGAGGAGGCAAAACGTGGCTTGGAAAAACAAGTTTTGAATTTGAACGCTCAGCTGGTAGAAGCGAAGAAACGTGCCGAGGAAGAGGCAGAAGCGGCAGCAGCATTGGAAGAAAGTAGAAAACGTTGCGCAAAAGATATCGAGGCACTTCAAAGACAAGTCGAAGAATTGCAAGCAGCTAATGACAAGTTAGATAAATCGAAGAAGAAGATACAAGCCGAATTGGAAGACAGTATCATCGAATTGGAAGTGCAACGAGCCAAGGTGCTAGAATTAGAAAAGAAACAGAAGAATTTCGACAAGGTACTTGCAGAAGAGAAGGCCGTGTCGGAACAATATGCGGAACAGAGAGACAACGCGGAAAGAGAAGCACGTGAGAAAGAAACTAGAGTCCTTTCATTAACGAGAGAATTAGACGAACTTAATGAGAAGGTCGAAGAATTGGAAAGAGGACGTCGCGGGCTCCAATCGGAACTGGATGAATTGGTGAATAATCAAGGTACAGCTGACAAAAACGTGCATGAATTGGAAAAAGCTAAACGTGCTTTGGAATCGCAATTGGCTGAACAAAGGTCTCAAGTAGAAGAATTGGAAGACGAATTGCAGTTTACTGAAGATGCAAAATTAAGATTGGAAGTAAATATGCAAGCTTTACGTGCGCAATTCGAGAGAGATCTTCAAGCGAAGGAGGAACAAGCAGAAGAGAAGCGCCGAGGATTGGTCAAGCAATTGCGTGATGTTGAAGCCGAATTAGATGACGAAAGAAAGCAACGGGCGGCTGCAATAGCTCAACGTAAAAAGATGGAGAGCGATTACAAGGACATGGAGCAACAATTGGAGATTCATAACAAAGTGAAAGAGGATGCGTTGAAACAATTGAAAAAATTACAAGTACAAATAAAGGATTATACTAGGGAAATAGAAGAATTCAGGGCGGCTAGGGATGAATTAGCAGCTGGTGCGAAAGAATCGGAAAGGAAAGTAAAGAGTCTTGAAGCGGATTTGATGCAACTAACGGAAGACTTGGCTAACAGCGAACGCGCTAGACGAGCGGCTGAAAACGAGAGAGATGAACTTCAAGAGGAAGTTAACAACAATGCCAATAAAGGAACTTTAATGCTCGATGAGAAGCGTAGACTTGAAGCAAGAATCGCTACTTTGGAAGAAGAACTGGAAGAGGAACAATCTATTTCCGAGGTCGCTGTGGATCGTGCAAGAAAGGGACAGATCTCAATAGAACAATTGTCGACTGATTTGGCTACCGAACGATCTACGACACAGAAACTTGAATCTCACAGAATGTTATTGGAGAGACAAAACAAGGAATTGAAAGCAAAACTTGCCGAATTAGAAACTGCTCAACGTGCCAAGACAAAAGCTACAATACAGCAATTAGAATCGAAGATAAATAATTTGGATGAGCAACTTGAGACGGAAGCAAAGGAAAGGTTTGCTCAACAAAAGATCAATCGCAAATTAGAAAAGAAATTGAAAGAAATGACTATACAATTAGAAGATGAGAGGAGAAACGCCGATCAATACAAGGAGCAAGTGGAAAAAGTAAATGCTAGAATGAAGACACTGAAGAGACAGTTAGATGAAGCAGAAGAAGAAATCAGTAGACACAAAGCTATGAAGCGAAAAGCTCAAAGAGAGATGGATGATATGCTGGAATCTCAAGAGGAACTTACACGTGAAGTAGCAAATCTGAAGAACAAATTGAGGTAAATATCTAATAGACAATTCGGATAATTGACATTTTCGAAATAATGAGATAATTATAAATGCAATTGGAGTATAAGACCTTTCTATAGGCGCATAACACGCAACCCTCTTTTCGTAAATTTGTTTAAAGGCGTGGTGGACCTGCTATAAGTTTGAGCTCTACGAGGCTAAAACGTGGATCTGTACAAACTGGAGGGTCCGGCGATGATTCGACAACGCAAGACGAAAGTATCGACGGGGAAGAAAATACTAATTGAAGTCCTATAAATCTTTTAAAATGTGCAAAAACGAGGAAAACAGCCTGCGTCACGTTACGAAGCGACAACGATAGCGGAATTTCTCGATCTTATGTAAACATCGACTATATAAAGTCAATTGAATTTAGTACATTCGATCTAATATTCGCTTTCAGTGATAAAATTTTACAAGGAGGATAACGCATAAAAGTCCTGTTTCTTAAGAGTGCTATTAAGAGATATATAAAGATGGATCTTTGTATATTGATCCTGCGAATTGGATAATAGTTTATAGGAAGTAATTATTTCTTTGTTTGTATACTACTCTATTTGTTTTCTTCCTTATTTTCACTAGAGTTTTATATGCTTCCCATAAAATGCCATGAGACGTCGAGTGTAAGAAGAAGAAGAAGAGTCTTTTTTGTTTAAGGATATGTATATAATTTTACAACTTATTAATTAATAACTTGACCGCCGAGCGGTATGAATGCAAGCATGATTTTAAATTGATATGATGCAGAAGTTGTAATCAAGAAAAATAGAAGTCAATAACAAAGCGGATTACTGCATAATTTATAACAACTTAACAAAACTATTAGATAGCATTAAGATATTAGTCTTTATTATTATTATTATTATTATTATTATTATTATTATTATTATTATTATTATTATTTTTATTATTATTATTATTATTATTATTATTATTATTATTATTATTATTATTATTATTATTATTATTATTACTACTACATTATATTTTTGTTGCTATGAACAACATCCTCCAACACACACATACACACATATATATATTATTAATTTTATTACTATTATTATTATTATTATTATTATTATTATTATTATTATTATTATTATTATTATTATTATTATTATTATTATTATTATTATTATTAGTATTATTAATTATTATAATATTTTATTATTATCACAAATAGTATCACAATTAAACTAATACTATGCGGATCATATAAATAAAATACGACAAATTGAGATGGATAGTTGTACTCCAGTTTCATTTTAAAAGGTTCGTACATTTGAAGTTTTCAATTGCATTTCGTCTTTCGTACATACTGCTTGCTTTCTCTTTAGCGATTAACATTTAGGTGAAATATTTATACTATAGTGTAATATTTGTCACATTATATCATTGCATTCATACGATCGTTGCGTTTAAGATTTGATTCCTCTATTAATTCTAAGCACAATTACATTTTTGGGGAAGTTAGGTAACAGTGTGACGCAAAGACTTTATTTTTTTTGTACTTAAGACATTATAATTTTATTTATGATTTTTTGATTTAACTATTCAGTTGTTATTAACCTTTTGAAATGAACTGATTAGGGAAACGATTAAAAGAAAAAAAAAGGAATGTGAAAAAAAGAAAATACATTGTGACTCAAATTCGTCTGACTTGGGTGGATTCAAATATATAGATGCAAATTTCATAAATTGCGTTAAAGCGATCATCGACCCAAGTATCGTGAAGATGTTTTATATATGCATTTTTTTACATACACATTTTATGGAATCCTTTGTACCAAAAGGCATTTATAGCAAACATTGTGCCAGGGTTAGAATATATTTTGATGCGACTAGCAAACATGGAAAATATACTAATTAATAATAGGCCTTTAATATATTAAACGAAATAAGGTGTTAAACTATGGCTTCCTAGAGATATTTTAGGCAAAATTTCGAAGGCATGATTCTGAAAATAAAAAAAGTAAAAGAACAAACAAACAAATAAAACGGAACTGCCATTATACGTGCTGTTAATTTCAGAGGCAACATATCATGTCGATGCTTAAAGCCGATTAAAATGATATGCAATCTCTTAATACTAGAAATTTTTCCATTTGTGACCACTGTGAATTGTGTATATAATCGCTTTGAGATGTTCATTTCTCGTTGTTTTTTTATTTTTTATTTTTCTTGTATCATGTCCTATTTGCCGTTACCGCATACAAAATAAAAAAAAATTAAAAAAATAAAAGAAAAAATTTTCAAATGCAACGTAGAGGACATGATAATTAATCGAAACTGTAACGAGAAGTGATCATTGTGAAAGTATTCGATAATTGGGGTTAGCGTCATATACAATGAAACTAGGAGTGAAAAGTGAGAAGTTTGAAATAACGTGGAAGGAAGAGTTTTGATATGTTTTATATGGAATAAATATAAACGTTGATTGCATCATAAGTATATAAGAAAAAAGTATAATAAATGCTGAAATAGTAGATCAAATTAAGCACTAATCATGGAGTCTTTTTATTTATATAATCACGCGTAGAAAGTATTGTTTTATTTATTTAATTTTTTTTTTTTTTTTTTTTTTTTTCATAACAGAAAATCAATACATTCAAGTATAATTGACATATAACAAAAAAAAAGCATTAAGTTGTTATCGGGTCTTCCTTCAGTTGTTTAAGCGTTCGAGCTAATCTAGGACTCGCCAGATCTAATGGTGTTTTGCGTTCTTTGTTAGTTAACGTTATATCGGCGCCATTAATAACCAACAATTTTGCTTCTTCCAGACGATCCTCCTCGCAAGCTAAATGCAATGCGGTATTTCCATATGCGTCCTTTTGATCTAAAATAAATGACCCACATAACATTCATATATTAACATAAGATGAGATTCATTAATTATGTTCACAAAAATCATCAAATAATACAAGACCTATCTTTAAATCTTTTCCATATTCTATTAACAATTTAACTATTGCAATATTTCCTTTTGAAGCAGCTCTGTGCATAGGAGTCGCTCCTCTTTTGTCAGTGATATTTATATTCGCATATTTTTCGAGCAATGCAACGCATATTGACTTCCAATTTTTCGATGCTGCGTATTGCAATGCCGAATGTCCATCCACAGTTTTTGCATTAACATTTGCACCTTCGGCAAGCAAAGTGTTAACAACTTTTTCTCGTCCAGCAGAGGCTGCCAAAATTAATGGTGTCATATTCGTCTATGAAATGATCATTGAATAAAAAAATTGTTTAAAATTATATTTCATTATTTCGATTTTTTCCATAATTAATGGTGCGAAAATTTAATGCAAGACAATATCGTACGTTTTTTACAAATGATATAGGTATACGTAAAAAAAGAATATTGAGATTACCCGCTCATTTATATTACATACGAAATGAAATTTTCCTTGCCAGTTTTGTCATCGTGACACAAAATAAACAAAATATAAACTCACGTCGTCTGTTGGATCAACCGGTACACCGTGAGATAATAAATATCTAACTAGATCATCGTGTCCGCCTAAAGCACTCCAGTGTATCAACATTCGTCCATTCTAAAAAACAAATATGCAGTTTAATGTTCACTTTATAACCTCAATCGTCGATCATGGTTTATTAAATTTGAATACTTACGCTGTCTGTTTGTGTTTTTAAAGATTCAGTTTCATTAAGTAGAATTTTCACATCTGACGTCTTACCACGATAAGCTAAATCATATATTGATTCTTGCTGAGCCATTTTATATAAATGAATTTAATAATATTCTTTACAATCACTATCGCGAAGCTTGAACTCATAAGACATTATGTTTACCTCGCAACATCAAATCGATACATGAATTAATGATTATTTTGACAATACATGTGTTATATTAATTTAATTAATATCCGTAAATTTATAATCGTTATTATAAATGTTATTTTATTTATAAACATTACTTTAACTATCAATATTAAAATAATAAACTGTTTTATCAACAATGCTTTGATAAGTCCAACTTATCAATGGAACCATACAGAGTAGCGCTCTGTTTTCTCAAAACACATTCGAAATAAATGAGGTTAGATTGTTAATACATACAATTTAGAAATAAATTCTAAATATCTAAGTAAATAATAAAAAAGTCTACATATATATATATATATATATATATATATATATATATATTAAGAATTTATCTTATAAATAAAATGATCGGTAATAAAATACTCCTTAGATATTTAATAAAAAGTAATAGTTTAGTGTTTAGGTATTTTGTAATAACTAAAAAGAAATTTAATGAACAAAATTGTTTAATTCTGCCTTTAACGACAAATCGTTTATTCCACATTGCTCAAAATCTTTATAAAGAAGAGGAAACAAAGAAAAGTAATACTCTTATAACATCTTTGTTTGAAAATACAAAAGAAAAACGAAAAGAGACTTTCATTGACATTATAAGGATTTATGAACAAGAAAGATATAAAAGAGGTCAAATAGAATTTATTAAATTAGCTTTGAAATACATGAAAGTTTATGGTATAGATAAAGATATTGAAGCTTATAAAGCCTTATTAAATATTTTTCCAAAAGGACCATATATTCCAAGAAATTATTTTAATGTCGTGTTGAAATATTATCCAAAACATCAAGATACTGCTACCGATCTATTACAACAAATGGAAGATAATAACGTAATACCTGATGAAGAAATACAAGATATTCTTTTAAATATCTTTGGTAAACATGGTAGACCATTGAAAAAATTATGGCGAATGTTATATTGGATGCCTAAGTTTAAAAATTTAAATCCTTGGCCTGTTCCTAGGCCAGTACCTACAGATCCAAAAATACTTGCCAGAATAGCAATACAAAAGATAAGTAGTGTTGATGTAACAGCACTTATATCTGAATTTGAGACAAAAGATATAGAGGAATCTATTGAAGATACATGGATAATATCTGCTATGAGTCCCATTCAAAAAGATTTAGTAGTACAACATTTTAAATTAAGAAAGGATTTACCTATGTACGTAGAAGGTCCTTTCAAGATTTGGATTGGAAATCAGTCAGTCGATTACTTCATTTTGAGATCAGACCCAAAAAAGAGTACTTATGAATATGAAGATCCTGATGGTAAGTTAATGATATCTATTGTATTAAAAGTAATTGACTGTATTCGTTAAAGACTATCCATATTTCTTTATAGATGTTAGCAAGATTAAAATTCCATTTTGGAAAACAAATAAGATCGTTGAAGCACCTACAGTACATGAGCAAGAGGATGGTGTTTACTTTGCAATATGTGCCACTGGTACATCTAGTAAAGATTCTGCAGTATCTTGGATTCGATATTTGCAGAAAGATAATCCAATTTTAGAAAAAATTCTTATACTTATAAAATTGGCATCATCAGTAGAAACAGAATGTATACAATTCCCAAAAGAACAGAACAAATTACAAAAAAATTAATAATAAAAACGAATATTCCAATTAAAACATTTTTAGAATTGAAATATTTATAGATTACGGAATGTTTAATAACTTCATTTTAACGAAATAACATAATGTAATATTTTATTTAACAATTTATTATTTTTTGTTATAAATATTCTAATTTGAAATTAAAATCACGTTGGTACTATTAAAGTACTTAACAAGCTTTTGAAACTTAACACAGAGTGGCGCATCGATCAACATCGACTTTCAATATCATCTCATATCATTTTTTCGAAAATAATTTATGGTGCTGTACATTGTACACATAAATATTAACTTTATTATGAGAGGATAGCATAACTTGAATTAAGAGTGTAAATACAAGTAGAAACATACGAAATGATTGAGTCTTGTACAAAGAAGCGAATGTTGTTAGGTATAATTTTATTAGGAGGGTCAGTTGTAATTCACGTTTCAATGATTGTCTTTAACATCTTTTACATTTTGTTCGTGATTAATATACGTAAACAGATCATTGTTTACTTTGTCTTATAAAATTCTTTAATAAATAATCGTTTATGTACATAAATAGAATAATTTCTTTTTTACTTTATATAGATTAACAATTCTAGTGTTGATCGTTGAAAGTCACTGGACAAATTCTCCAAACAAACTTTATCTTGATAACTTTGAGAATAATACTGTTTGTGTATCGGGAAATGAATATGAGATAATTACAGAATGTCATCCATGCGATGCTTTCGAAATTGCAAGTGAAAGTATTACAGTGTGTATTCATGCAAGATATAAAGAAGTTTTGAAGTGTAAAAGTGGAGAAACTATAACAAGAAGGTAATTTATAGTTAATGAGAATTTATTAAAATAAAGATGAATTTTTTTTATGTATATTTAAATGGTTTATGTTTCAGTTGTGACAGAGTAGCATGGTTAGAAGAGAGAGCATTTTGGAAATTTGAAGGTTTTATGTTTGCCTTAGCATTTATTTCTTGTATTAGTGTATATTGGAGAGAAAATATACTAAGGCAAAGAATTATTCGCAAAGTTGCCAGACAGTTAAGAGCTAGTGTATAGTAAGTGAAAAATAAATTTGTTTATAAATTTTTTATAATTATATAATATATTTTAGTGGTTTCAAAAACCTGAAAAATGGATGAAGCATATTTAGAGATATATTCACTGACTGATTTATGCCTTGCTCCAATAGAAACGATCATAACTCTTTTTACAATAAAATATTGCAATTCTGAGATCAATATTAAGTTGATTCAAACTAAACAAAAGTTAAATGAATGCGCGTATATTATAGATATATCTCAATTTGTATATGAAATTATAGATGAAAAAGAGATTCCTCATGATGTAAATTCTTGTGAATTACCTAGTATAGTTTTAAATAAAACAAGTTACATAGCAGGACTTTGTGCTATACTAAGACAGATTATAAAATCAACTCTCATAGATTGTCCATTACATTACTCTAGATCTTTGTTGGGATTTAAAGAATCATGTTTATTAGCTTGTTTGGAAAGCAGTGTCTGGACTAAGTTTTGTGAAATAGATATGATTAATATGTTAAAATTTCTTAATTTAGGTAGTTCGAATCAAGTAGAATTGCCTCATAGTCTTGCAAGATTTGAATGTCATATGTCGCAACCATTAAGGATACATAATCTATACAAATATGTAGTGTCTAAGAAAAAAAGTATGCAAGATGTAAGAACAGAATATAAAGCTCAAGTACCAGAACATAAATATGCAGAAGGTTCTTATATTACGTTAGCTGATATAATTATTTTTGTTTGTGTGCATATATTGCTTACAATATATTCAAGTGACGCAATACTTAAATTATTACCATTAATAACTAAATGGTACGAACGAATGATTCAAGATCATATTATATTGGAATGTTTAAGTTGCTTATCTATTCAAGAAAAAAAAATTAATAATGAAATTAATTATATACTTCCTCAAGTTTCTAATGAAAGTTTATATAAAAGTGATCCTAAAAGATATAAACCAAAAAGTCGTATCTACACAAAACAAAAAGACATAGAATATTCCATGCAAATTATCCATAATGCAGAAATTATAAGTGAGCTTGATGCAGAAACCTTTGGTGCAGAAATATGTTTTGATTGGACAAATGTTCCTTTTGACATAACTCCAGAAGGTGGATCTTTACCACCTTCTCGTCTGAAAAGAAAATCTGAACAGTTAGAAAATCTATGTAAACCTGTTATAAAATTAGCAAAAGCAGGTGATGTTATTGTAGATTTTTGTTCTGGTAGTGGTCACCTTGGAGTGTTACTTGCATATCTTTTACCAAATTGTACTATAATATTATTAGAAAATAAAGAACAATCTTTAAATAGAGCAAAAGAAAGAGTGAAGCTGTTGAAATTGACTAATATTAAATTTTATCAGTGTAATTTGGATTATTTTAAAGGAAATTTTAATATAGGTTTATCTTTGCATGCTTGTGGAGTAGCAACTGATTTAGTTATTCAACAATGTATTAAAAGAAATGCTATTTTTGTAAGTTGTCCGTGTTGTTATGGATCATTACACAATTGCCATCATTTAACATATCCAAGAAGTAACATTTTTAAGAAACACATAAGCAACAAACAATATTTGACTCTTAGTCATGCTGCAGATCAAACACACGATAAACTAAATGCTAAAACTCAACAAGGATATGAATGTATGGCTATTATAGACACTGATAGAAAATTACAGGCTGAGCAATTTAATTATTTAGTATATCTTGGTAAATTAATACCAGAGACATGTACGCCTAAAAATCACATATTAGTTGGAATTCCTAAAAGACGTATATGTATGAAAAATTAGAATATTAACATCTTAAAAAATATTTGTACAACGAACTTTATGGTACAAATAAATATGTGTAAATTGTACATACATTATACTTACTTGTTGTCTGAAACAAATAATAAATTATGAATAACATTGATACAGTAAAAATGAAGCTCTCTCTTACAAACTTGTTTTAAAATATACTTTGTATATCACAGATAAATATTATGAATTTACAATACTTTATTTTTTCTTTTTTTTAATTTCTATGAACTTTTATATTGCTTATAACATTAATCGTTTGTAATATGACTGTAATATTATTTCAATTTATTAATGAGACACGTGCCATTACTGCACTAGAAATTTATTAATAATTGTATGAAGATTTTTATTGATATGTACAAAAAAGAAGAAAGAAATAATTATGTATACAAATCATTAGCATTACTTAAATGTTACACAACAATTTCCTATTGTTACATACCTAATTGTAAGAGAAACACGAAACGAAGTTTGTTTTTATATTATATTAGAGGAACTAGGGAATATTCATTTTAACTATTTTACTTACTACTTCAAGCGCCGAGTACATGCTTGGGCAATATTGAAAATTTAAATAAACTTCCACCTTTATTTTATGGTTTAACACTTTCAATATTTAATTTTGGTCTTTCAATAAAATGGCTGATGGAAAACGAAGTGAAAGTACCATATACACATTTTATGTTTTTTTAAGATTGTGTGTTTCATGTACTATTTACAATTTCAGTCATACGAGCACAGATACACTGCCACATAGCAAGTTAGCCATATCTGATATTTATTTTACTTAATAGTAAACTTATGTTTATTTCAATTCACATCTGTTTTAAGCTTCTTGTAAGAGATGAAGCTTAACTTTACCAGACGTTAATAGTGAAAAGTTATCTTAGAACATTGTCACAGAGTATGTCTCTTATTTGATATAAAAGCCCCCTAACACAAGTATTTGATAAAAAGTCCTCAATCAAAAAATTCATATGAAATTAGAAAAAGATCAACTTATGGACACAGTTTTGTTAACAAAATAATGGTATTTGATCTATCGTAAAAAAAATTTGATATTTTCAATGGTAAGAACTACTGATATAAATTCTTCAATAAAACTTATATAAATTAAATTCGACGAATGAAACAAATTATTAATCGGTACTTTACGATTATCGAAGTTTACAATAAAAAAAAAAAAAAAAAAATAAAATATAAGTTATCGTAATATGAACGCTTATATAAAAAGATAGGGAATAAACAAAAAACTCTTTCGATATTTGGTATATAAAAAATGATTGCTATCTCATTGTAGTTTATTGTCACTAAGAAAATAGTAAGCTATGTAGCTTGGTATATAGTTAACAATTCGTTATATTATTTGGAAATAAAAACATTATAATATTAAAAATGGTAACTGCAATTAAGAAAAAAAAATTGAAAAACATTTATTTTGTTGGATATTGATAATATAATAGACGTGATTAAAATTAAGAAACAAAGGAAGCAGTAAAGATTAGATACTTAGATATTTATATTGATAGTTACCATTATATAAGCTTACTTATTATAAAAGCTCTAAATAGGGGGCTTTTAAAATTACATGTTAAATTTGCTTCGTGGCGTACCACGAAGCATGTAGGCATTTCAGACATACATTGGTACTTGTTTCAAACGTTTTCCCGACATTAATTTCGTAGTTTACAACTCAGATATTTTTTGTAGTAATAATTATCTTACGCGTAAAAATGTAAGCAAGCAATCCATCGAAGTCTCTTTCTCGTTAATCGTTGAAGTTCGATAGTTAAATTTTACGTAAGTTATTCGTAATCATAACAAAGAATGGCTGCATTAGAGATAAGAAAAATTGATAATAACTAATACATTATAATATTCATAGACTCGATAAATCCTTTATCTCAAATCGATTACTTGTTAATTGAAATCGAACTGTAGATTTCGAATACGAATCTTTCTGGACAACTTGCTTCATTTTTCATTATTGGCGTGTAGTACTCTTCTCGATATTATACTTTTGGCTTTACAGCATAAATAATCATCACGCGTTATGATGTAATTTCACATTTCATGCTTTTTTTTTTCATAAATTTCATATTATAATAAGATTGTATACTTAGGATCAATTGATGTACCCGCTCGTAACTTTGAATTCGCTAGATAAATAGGTACTTCGTTTTTTTTTTTCTAATACCAATTCTTGTACTTTATGTATAAATTTAATAGCACGGAGGATTCTGCCAGAGGGGTAAATCAATCGATCCTTCTCAGTTATTTCGAATGTGCCAGCCACAACACAACAAGCACGGTGCTCCTACCGAAGTACTTATATTCATACCGTATATTGCTTAAGTTAAGGAGCTTGTAAACACGGTATTCCCGACAACTTAACGGTACGACGCTCTCCATAACTTCTTTTAACATTTTTCACGTGTCTCGGATAGCAACACAATTATTCTATTTCGATTCGATATGAAAAAGCTTTTTGATAAATCTCTCCGCTCCGGCGAATTAAAACAAATCTTTAAAATTTTAATTTCATCAATTTGTAAATCAATTGCTTAACCAAGAAGAGTCGCATTTCTATTAAAATATCATTTATAATTGATAATAAACGACACGGCATTTACGTCAGAGTAGTTCGATGTGCTGTCAAAAATAACTATCAAGAGATGGAAATGTGTGATCGGTACTTGTGAGAACACGTTAATTGACGATGTCTTCGATCATGCAGCAATCGAAGCCATATGATATGACAATGCGACGCGTTAGATGAAAATTTACGTGGCACATTTGTATATAGAGATGGAAAAGAAAAAGAGTAAGAGAGAGAGAGAGAGAGAGAGAGAGAGAGAGAGAGAGAGAGAGAGAGAGAGAGAGAGAGAGAGAGAGAGAGAGAGAGAGAGAGAGAGAGAGAGAGAGAGAGAGAGAGAGAGAGAGAGAGAGAGAGAGAGAGAGAGAGAGAGAGAGAGAGAGAGAGAGAGAGAGAGAGAGAGAGAGAGAGAAATAGAAAGAGGAACGAATAGCGAAAGGGAGGAAAAGAGAGAAAGTGTATCTTTGTTATTTGAATAATGTACGTGTATCTATGTATACAATCTGAAAGAAAGAGAGAGAGAGAGAGAGAGAGAGAGAGAGAGAGAGAGAGAGAGAGAGAGAGAGCGAGCGCGTCCGGTTTAGAAGCTCATTAATTTATTAATCTATACAGAACTGGTAATAATTAGCGTTTCGCGTAATTTATAATCTTAAGAAATGGATCACGACTCTCCGTTTCCGCTATCGTCGCCATCTTCGTAATCGCTGGCGCTAAGTTGTTCATCCTCGTCGTCGTCTAATTCGTATT